CAGGAGGTGGAGGATTCCAGTTAATCAGCTGTGGGCCAGGTATCTTTCTTGTGGCTGGTGTGGAGTTGGGGTCTGTGTCATCTGAGCCACCAGACTGAGACAGCAGTCATGTGTGACCACGATGGACAGGGACAAGGGTTGAAAAGCACCCACTGAGTCCAGCTCTGCCAGTTGCATAGATGCATGATTGAAGCCCAGAGAGGGTGACAGACTTACTCGAGCCCCCATGAGCCTAGCACTATGCTTGGTCCCGGGCTCTCCAGAATGTCAGCTCGGAGTTTCCTCCATTTGCCCCCCTCAAAAGCATTTTCTTTCCTGCTCAACAGAGCCCTTCAAAGCCCCTCTTGTGGCACTCACCCCAAAGGACCATTTGTGACATTGCTCTTGTGTCCCCTCTGAGGCCTAGTGTGATGTGCCAAGTTCTCCATCATCCAGCACATCACAGCATAAATGGAATAAACGTGAGGAAGGATTTTCCCCTATAATTAAAACAAAGAAAACACTGCCAGCATCGAACCCGCCTCTATTTTGAAGGTCAGCCCATGTGGGATAAGGAAAGCCTTTAGAGAAGTGAGCTAATTACTCAGGTATTTCATGGGAAATGCATTTCTTTGGCTTGAGCAACTCATGTCTCCACTTCCTCGTGGCTGCTGGCACTGGGGGCAGACATGCCCTGTGTAGCCTGGGTGAACGACATGGCAAAAAGAACTTGTAAGAACTTTTCTGTATAATGATTACATTTCCATTGAAAAGTACACAAATAATGAATGTTTACAAGTGGGTTGAGAAAAGGAATGCTTCCAACGCCCCAGAAAGCCCCCCTCCAAATGCCAGAAAAGAATTTAATGAGAAAGCCCCAGAGTAGCGGCTGGCAGATTTCTACTTGGTTTTTGAGAATTCACATTCACCATGCAGCAAGTAGAAGACGCAGGATTGGAACACAGGTCCGTCTGACCTCAGAGACTGGAAAACAGTATCAGACAGGAGCTCGGAACATCAGGGTTTCCTTGTGCCTCTGTGTCGATACTTGCAAACTCCTGTGTCAGAGGTCCGTGCTTACATTGGTTGCATTTCCTGGTGCTCGCTCTGCCTTGCTACGTTCAGCTCACCTTGCCGCCTGGTAGAAAGGACAGAGAAGTTAACAGAAAAATGAAATAATGTGGTCAGTTCTCTGTGGGGAAGGGTGATGGGCTGGAGAGCTTTGCTGACGGCCATTCGACCCTGGGGAGTGTTGTGACAGGCCATTGGGCCACACACCACCATGGGACAGCCTCGTGGGTCACAGAGGGGCTGTGTGCGGAGCCTGACTGTGGCTTAGGCCCCAGCTCTGCCTCTCAGCACTGAGTAGCCAGGTCAAGATGGTCAACCTCCATGAACCAGTTTCTTTTTCTATAAGGACAAGACCTCATAGGGTTTCAGTGAGAATTCAATGAGTTAATATATCTAATATCTGGCACCTAAAAACACGTTAAGTCTTTGATGATTGCTTGCTGACTTAGCTCCCGAATAAGTGTTCTTAGATGAGAAATGTGGAGTTCTTTAGTGGACAGTTTTGCCTTTGTTCTGCATTTTGTCATCTGGTTCTTCCCAATTTTTAGATTTATGTGGGTTCTTGAATGGCCCAACGTTAATTGCAGGTACTTGATGTCCTGATTGGAAATGGTGATGGGAAAGAAATTTAAGCTCTGGGGGTGTTGGTTTTTGTTATTCTTAAAAAACGCACTGGGTCTATTGGTTGAGGGTGGTTTTCCAAGTTTACGGTGCATCACAGCCACCTGGAGAGTTTTAAAATTTCAGATGCCTAACATTACCTCCAACTGACTGGTACGTAATTTTCAGAGAATGGGCTGTTTTCCTCAAACTCCACACTTGGTGCTGATACTCACCAAATGTGAGGGTCACTGGTGTCTTATATTCTATGGTTAGACTTGAACTCACATTTAAGTGTCTTAATGTAAGTCACTCATTCACTCAACACATTTTTTATTGACCAGTTTTACATGATCAGTACTGCTTTCTCATGGGAGACATAGATGATAATTCAACAAATAAAGTAATAAGGAAATATAAAATAGAAATAAAGTTTGTGATAAAACAATACTTCATATGAGTGACTGGAGTCTTCTTTAGAAAGGGTAGTCAGGGAAGGCATCTCTGAGGATTGGGCTGGAGCATGAATGATAAAAAGGTGCCAATCATGGGTACATATGGGGGGAAAGAGACGTCAGGCAGAGGAAACACAGGTGCAAAGGTGACAACCTAATATTGTTATTCACCCTAGAAATGAATGCACCCCTAGGGCTACCCACAGACTTGAAAAACTATAGCAAATCAAGTGATTAAGTGTGCTTCTTAGTTTTTATGACATCTCTGTGGGAACTCTGTTCTGAACATCTGGACTCATGAGTGATAGCATTATGCATTGAAGTCTCCCTCCATGACAGCACATGCCTCTGATGTCATTGGGCCACAGTTTCCATGAGAAGTGCTGGGGTGTTTGGGGTTGAACTTGGGGGTGTGGGTTGGGCAGCCCGAGTTTGAATCTCTGCTTTTCCTCTTGTAGCTGAGTTTTCATAAAGAAGCTCCTTAAGCATTCTGAGGTTCAGATGCCTCGTCTGTCACATAAGGATGATCACAGTATCTGCCTCATGGGGTTATTGGAAGGGTCAAAGAAGAAAATGCCCATAAGGTGGGCTCAGCCCTCCACGCAGACAAATACTTGTGGCTTCGTGTGATGCTCATTTGCAAGTCCTCTGTGAACTCTCTGTTTAAAAGGTGGTCCCCAGACAGCAGCCACATCCTCTGGGAGATGGTCAGGGTCAGAAATGCAGAATGTTAGGCTCCATTCCAGACCTGCCGAAGCAGATTTTGCCCTTGAACAATATCCCAGGTGATTCTTGTGGGTATTTGTATTTGGAAGTGCTTCTCTAAGCCAAAATGTGTATAGAAAGGAGAGCCGGGCCAGTTTTCATTATGGAACCTGTTGGCAGCATCAGGTTGGTGTAAAAAGACATCAGCACCCGGACACAAAATATACTGTGACCCTATCTAGCTGAGCATTCTTGGACAGCCACGTAACCCCCCGGGACTAAATTTCTTCATCTGTAAAATGATCCATCTATTTGAGAGGTTCGTTGAGAGGATAAATGAAATAATGTGAAAGCTAACATCAAACAGTAAAAAGTAAGTTATTTTTATCTTATTTACATAGAAAAAGGATGTTGTAATCCTACAGCTGTTAGTATAATTTTCAAAGAATCTGATTCTCCATTTTCCACATTTGCTTGCCGAGCGGCAATGGATAAGACCTGTTATTTGGTGTGTCAATTAAAATAATGGAGAGTGACAGTGGCCCGGGAACTATAGCCTGATATTTTCAGAAACTAAATGGAAGAGTTTTGTAGTTTGGCTAAAAGGCATTGCCCTAGAAAAGACTAGCACAGTGGCAATGGGGGTGTTTATGCTATTTACAAAATAGTCAGGATTACAGTGTAACGTACCATGGCCAAGGGCAGAAGGCACCAGGATGCTTCTAGGTGGTTTGTTTTAATGTGTCACACGTTTAGCAGCCACAAAAGCCTTTTATTATTTCCAAACATCACAATCAAAGCAAGAAACAATGATATTTATATTAGCAGGATGTCTTCAAATACAAAAGAGAACCCCTCCCCCCGATATATTCCAGCACAAGAAAAACACACAATTGTACACCAAAGATACAGCATAATAGAAGAATTCTTGAGGTTGGGGGAGTATGTGAAAACAGCCATAAATCACAAGCTGAAGCCATCAGGGCAGGAGAGGGTCTGATGGACGCACGCAACCCACAGTGACATACAGCGCTAGTCAGCAGATCTTGCCCTATGCGCACGGGAGTGAAGTGCATTGCTTAATAAGGTATAGATTGGGTAACAGGGTCACTCCATCTTTACCATCATGATGAGCGAAAGTATTTAGCAGGAATCCAAAAAAATTCTCTTTCCTAGATAATGTTTAGGAAACCATGTGACAGAGACACCGTCATTAGGAGCAAAAACAGCTTCTAAGAAACCATTTCCACAATTTCTCAAGCTATCTGAAACTACAGTAAAACAGTTTCTTTAGACACATGCCCTCCCATCCATGATTCCCTCTCTTGTTTTAAAAGCAGAAAAGGAATAATAGGAAAAAGGCTTTATTAAAATAGGGAAATCTATTCCTTAAGGTAGCAAGGTACAAAATATTGTGTACACATGTATAGTCTGAATTTCCAAAGTACTTCATCTCTTTTTCATTAGAATTTTGAAAGCTGCCTTAAATTTAATGCATAAAACCCAACAACAACAACAGCAGCAGCAGCAGCAGCAGCAGCAGTAAAAACAGAAGTGGGTTACATTTTGATGCTCATTTTTGGGGAGGGGGTGCTGGCCAGGGGTGTGGGGGTAAGAAGAAGGGCAAACAGCATTCATTGCTTCTTTTCACAAAGAGTTCATTGTTTGGGGGAAACTGGTTTTACTGTACATGGAGTAACAGAATAGAAACTCAGTCTCTTATGAAATAAGGGCAAAGCCATCTGAACAGCTGGCCGCGAGGCCAGGGGAGGTGTGACAGGTTTGCTTGGGAGAGCTTGGAGCCTCCCTGCTGTGAATGAGAAGCCTTCAGTCTGGTCTGACCCAAAGCGTGAAGACACACGGTCAGGAAGCAGGCGAGCAGGCAGGACGAACCCTGCGCATGTGGAAGTGAGTGCAGACAGCGCCCCCAGCAGCCGTCACTGACCTCTCCGGGGACTACCTGGGAAATCAGTTAGTGACTTACCCACCGTGGAATCCTTTCAGAGAGCCTGTCACACACCGTTTCCCCCTTCAGAAGGCTTTGCAAGCTTAAACCCACACGGCACGCACCATCGTGGCCACTGACACGCATTCACACTTTTCACTTTCCCCTCTCTTCTGTCTCAACACCTCGGCTGGATGGAGGGTCAGAAGCGAGCAGCTGGTCCCCACGTGCACGGTCCTGGCATCCTACCCCAAGTTCATGCCGTTGCAGCCGCACAGGATCTCTCGGAAGGTGTTCCGCAGCTCGGGGCTCCGGAAGGCGTAGATGACAGGGTCGATGACCGAGTTGCACATGATGAGGACCAGGTAGGTGTTGAAGTGGGCGGTGTAGCAGACGCAGCGAGGGTCGGCGGGGCAGGCTATGATGAGCACGAGGTGGAGGAAGAAGGGCGCCCAGCACACCACGAACACCCCCAGCAGGATGGTGATGGTGACGGCGCCCTTCATGCACGAGTGGTGCTGCGGCGCCGCCCCGTCGGCGGGGGGCAGGGCCGCGATGCGCTTGACGTGCAGGCGCGCGAAGAGGAGCATGTGCACGTAGAGCGTGCCCATGAGCAGCAGCATGGCGAAGAACATGGTGATGAGGCACACGATGACCATCTTGCTCTCCGAGTAGACGATGAACACCACGCCGCACACGCCGCAGCTCACCCAGATGGCGGCGATCAGCGCCAGGGCCTTGCGCACCGTCATGATGCTGTGGTAGCGGAGCGCGTAGAAGATGGTGACGTACCTGTCCACGGCGATGGCCAGGAGGTTGCAGATGGAGGCCACCAAGGAGATGCAGATCATGGAGTCGAAGAGGTTGTCCATGTGCTGGATGAACCGGTCCTCGAAGGTCAGGTAGTCGCTGTTGACGATGGCGATCATGATGGTCTCCAGGGCGTTGGACACGCTCACCAGCATGTCAGCCACGGCCAGGCTGCAGAGGAAGAAGTACATGGGGGAGTGCAGGTTGCTGTTCCTGACCACGGCCAGGATGACCAGCACGTTTTCCAGCAGGCTGGTGATGCCCAGCACCAGGAAGACCTCGGGTTTGATGAAGACCTGCTCGCAAAACCCGCTGCCGCTCCGGTTGCTGGAGGAAGGGGCTGCAAGGTGCTCTGAGCCATTAGGCAGCGGCGGCTGAGCAGACAGCAGGCAGCACGAAGCGTTCATCGCTGACAGACAGGCTGAGCGGAGCTGGGGCTGCAGCAGTGTCCAGAGGATGTTGCTGCTTCTTCCGGGGAAAGATCTGCCTTCTGATACTTGTTACAGATGCTGGTCCAGTCTACACTTAGATTCTGTTCTCCCCAGAATGAGAGGACGGGGGGAGAGAGAGAGAGAGAGAGAGAGAGAGAGAGAGAGAGAGAGAGGGGGGAGAGAGAGAGAGAGAGAGGAGAGAGAGAGAGAGAGACGGAGAGAGAGAGAGGGACCGAGTCCCCTTGGAGGCATGCAGATAACTTTCCTCTGCTTCTCCAAGACAAGCAGTTTTATAGATATTCTTATCTGCCGCCTCTCTCTCCCTTACCTGTTACCTCTTCTCACTTGGGAACAGAAAACCTGCCACTGGTTGCTACAGTTACGGCTGTTTTCTTAGCAAGACGGGATGTACCTGTTGTTAGAAGTGAGGGGTGAACACTCAGTTTTCTTACACTGGCTCGAGGCAAACAACTCCTACTTAATCTTCAGCGCAGTGAAATGACCACTGAGCGTCAGGCGCCTCTCTGACTGACAGCAGGGAGATTAAAAAGCAGGCTGGTGCCCTCTGCAGGCCAGACCGCTGGTCCGTTTGTAGGCTTGGCTGAGCAATTTTTGTCTCGGAAATTGCCACAGGCATCTTATCTGTTCATCCATGAACTCGTTTAACATTCATTTTTTTAAGCAAACATTTCTTGAGCACCTACTATGTGTCAGATTTCTGCTGGGAGCATTATATAGTGGGGAGCAAAACAGACACGTGATCCCTGCTTCCTCTCAAACTCAGACTCTGAGGTAGCAGATGAGAAATCAGGGAATTGTGTTCAGTGTGATGACTGCGTGACTCAGGGAAGGCTAAGGGACTGGGGGAGCATAAAGCGGGGGCCCTAAGCTGAATGGTCAACGAACATTCCTGGAGGAAGGAGCATCTAAGCTTTGAAGGAAGAACAGGCAATGTCCAGTGGTGAGATGGGGGCTGGGGTTGGAGGAGGATTCCGGGCAGAGGAACAACATGCCCACAATTTGGGGGCAAAAAGCAGTGGTTCCCCACCCTGGCCGTGGGAACCATCTGTAGGATGTGGGCGCAGGGATCCCACCTGGCCTCCGGAATCAGAATCACCCAGGGGTAGGACCAGGGCACATGTGTGTTCAATTTTGACAGGTGAGCAACGGCATAGCCAGGGCTTCGGTCTACGGAAAAGGAAGCTTGGTGTGTCTGAAGAACTGAAAGTAGTTTGCTCTGGTCAGTGCGAAACTTGGAGACACGGTTTGAGAAATTAGGTTGCAAAGGTTTGTTTGTTTGTTCTGTCTTGTTTTTAAAGGTGAGAAAGTGCCTAGATCCTGAAGGACAGTATGAGCCATATTTGGGAATCTGTGCTGTATCCCGAAAGCGGTGGGCGGCTGTGGAAGGAAGGGCTTTAGGTGGGGCAGGGAGGCGACGGGGTCTGCATTTGGAAAGAGTTCTGGTTGCAGGGTGCAGACTGGACTGGAAGGGGAGGGCGAGGAGCAGGCAAGACCCAGGGTGAGATGATGGCGGCCGGAAGCAAGGAGGCGACCATGGGCCCAGGAGTGGACAGAGATATGTAGGAGGTGCATCATGGTGATTGGAGAGTGGTTGGATTTGAGACTGTGGGCGATGGAATGGCCAGGGAACACCCCCACTTTAAAACAAATATTGTCATTATTATTATGATGATGATGATTAGTTTCAGGTGTACAAAACAATGCAATAGTTATACTTTTCACCCCTCACAAAGTGACAACCCCCTCCCCCAATCCCCATTCCTTCTTAAGTCACAGGGAGGGTGGAGCTGCCCTTTCAGATGGAAAATGTAAAAGGCAGATTTTAGCAGTTGACTTTACCACTTGGTTCATATCAGGTTTATGCTGCATATAGGGATCATGTAAACTCTGGAAACAGAGTCCCCTTGTGCACACACACACGTGCATGCACACGTACACATGCACTCACATGCACTCACACACACACACACACACACACACGCATTCCAGACTGATTAATGACCCATCTTGTTATCATCTAACTATGTGAGTGTGTGTGTTTGTATGTTTGAGACAGAAGAAATGTGCATATGGAAATAGAAGAAAATTTAGAATATTTATAAAACTTTGGAGCAGTCTTCTGAACAAGATGGCAACCCAAAATTTAGTCAAAGGCAAACGGGAAGGACACATTTGCCACAGGCAAAAGTTACTGTATCTCCTACACAAAGAAGGCTTTCACATTAATACGAAAAAGATGAATTGGGCAAAAGATATAAATAGAAATTCACTGAAGAGGAAATGCAAATGGCTAATAAACATATGAAAAGATGTTCAACTTTACCAGGTGTCAGGGAAATGAAAATCAAACCGAGAATTCAATACCATTTTCCCGGTTGGATTGACAAGAATTAAAAAGAAGACAACTTCAGGAGAGAAGATTGGGGGAAGAACATTCTCTTTGTGATTGGGCCTAGTTTCACCATTCAGCACTTTGTACTAAAATAAAAACTGCACCTGGGTGTGGATCTCAGGCTGCACCGAGGGGCGTGAGAAATACCACTTGTATTTATTTTCAACAGAGCAACTTAATTTCTGATGCTCAACCAACCCATCCATCTTCCAGGTTGGGGAAAAACAGAATCTTAATCTTTCTGAAGGGTTCTCCTCACCCTCAGGGTTGCCTCCAGAGGCGTATTTATAGTGTCGTGGTCTGTGGCTTCAGAGGCACTGCTCTTGCCTGAACCCCTAAGAGACTCGGTGGTTTCCCTGCTCTGTGCTTGGCGTGGGCTGGGCACGGGCCATCTTTCTCTGCCTCCACCCTCTGACTCTGTGCATCCTTTACAGAGAGCACCTGGGGCCTGGCCCGTCAACCTGCATCCTCAGAGAGCCCTCGTTGCCAGTGAGTGTAGATTTGGTCTTCTCTGCACGCTACTCCCCACCTACCTGGGGGAGCTGCACAGATGCAGGATGAATTTTTAATTGAAACTTCTATAAATGAATAGGCTCTATTAATAACGATTGCAGGACATGACAGTGTCCGTCAGTGTTTACTGCAGGCTGTTGGCACATGTGTGTGTCTGTTTGGAATCTGTTATAATAAACTGTAACAAGGAGATCTTAGCCTAAGAGATAATCCACCTGGATGTCCTCTCTGCCCAAAAAGGCTGTCCCTAATTTTGTATCTGGCATATTCCTCTTATCCCTCAAATCCCAGCTCAGAGGTGAACTATTTGTACAGCGTTCCTCAAATTTCATGCACCAGTGTATTCCTCCACCTTCAACACCTCCCCCCGCACAAACCTGACCAAGTTCAGCATCATTTCCTCGCTTTCATGACACACAGAATGTTATTTAATTAGAAGTCACATCCCATGCCACTTAAAGGGGACAGCAATGTCCAGGGGTCATATTAAAAACAATGATTAGATTTAATCATTGATCCTAATTGTTTCTGAGGAGGAAATGCCTGTTACCTGCGTCCCCACCTCCAGGCCACCTCGATTTCAGCTGCCTCTTGCTGGACAGTTCCCTGTGGGCTCAGTTTCAAAGCACTCTGCCAGGTCCCACGGGGAGTGCTGCACCCCCATTCTGGCCCAGGATCTTTCCTGATGTAGGTAGGGGCGGGGAGGTGGCTCTCCCAGCGTGATCAAGTTCAGCTTGGAAGTGAGGGGGAGTGAACACCATCTAGAGCAACCCTCATCTAATAAGAGCTGGAGCCAGTGGGTCCATAGGTCAGCGACTTGTCCTTCAGGTGGACAACCAAAGATGCCTTGTTGCTGCCCAGACATCCTGTGAAATTGAACCCTCATCACCTACAGCAGCAACCTTGATAACGTGTCCTTTTTTTTTAGAGATTTTATTGGGGAGTTGGGGGAGGGGAACAGCATTGGGGAATTAGGGAAGGGGAACAGACAAGTTGCC